CGCGTGCTCCGCAACTTTGGCGTTACGGTTAGACCCCCCCCCCCCGGCAACAAATCCTGTACACGCCCCTGCGAGCAAATTGCAACATTGAAAACGAACCCCCCCCCCATAAAGCTGGCTTACGGCCTGATCTGACAAAGTCAGATGCAGCTTGTAGAATCGCATGATCGTCCGTGCGGTGCGTGCGTTGCGTGCGTCGTAGGCGACTCCCTAGACTCGTTAGTGGAGTAGGTGAGGTACGCTCCGGCATATTAGATAGTACCAGGGTACGTTCCAGTATGTTCCAGTACCATATTCCCCGGGGACATAGACCCTCTCAGCGCTACTGCTACTGCAACAAGGGGGCGGGTGGAGGGGGCTCTAATAGCAAAAGCAGTTCAGTCCTTTGTTAACAGTCAACAAATCCATGTTTAACCCTCCTCTTGAGGGTCAAGGTTATCAGACACTTAGTCTTCGCACGTCAGCGGAAAGTAGGTTTCATGGTCATTTCAATAAAGTGATAGAAATGGTAAGTCAGCACTGAAACAAAAAAGTTTTGCACTCGGTCCGGTAGACCATGTCCTCAGAAAATGTTTGATATCTGACCTTTCCCCCACTGCCCTTTGACCTGTGACCTCCAATTTCGCCCTGGTGATGGGTTTCCTCCCCATCACACTATACATCGAATATTAAGAGCTACTAATCTTCAGCTTCTCCTATACCTTAAGTTAAGGGGAAAATATTCTCCCTCCATTGACACATCTTAACCTTTGACCCTTGACCCCCCAAATTCGACATCCCGAGTCCTTTTCGCGATTCCCCCCCCCCAATAAAATTTATTGAAAATTTCTAAATGCACCAACAGTAAAAAGTCCAGTCAGTCTCCTGTGTATGTTATTCTGTTTATTATTTGTGGGGTTTTCAATAATCACATATATATATATAAGAGTTGCAAAAATAAAGTCAAACGGTAGCTTACGTGTGGGGAATACATATATTGGGCTGTAGTACATACGTACGTGTGTATTAGCGCAATTAGTGGAGTGTTCGTCTATATGTACGACCGAGGAGGATCGATTGTTTATATAGTATGTGAACCACGAGTGCGAAGCGCGAAGTCTCTTGCGGCCGGGGTCCAGGGCCCGCGTAAGGGTAGCTCAGGGGGTTTGAGAAAGCGGCACTAATCACTACTAAAATGTAGGGGGTGGGCATTGCTGGACTATGAGAGAGCGACAGCAAAACTCTTTCCTGGAATTGAGGAAAAAGCTACAATCGGGAATGACACACGAGTGTGCCGGCACGCAAAAATAAACGTGTGAATTTCATTACGATTTTCCATGGATTACCGTTCTATAATCCTACGGGTCGTTGGTCCTACGGGTCTACGTAGGCACGCCCGCTGGCACACCCGCACACACACACACAAGCACGCACGCACGCACGCACGCACACAGGCACGCACGCGCGCAGGCACACACGCAAGTTTCGGGCAAGTGAGATTGACATTCGGGCAAGTGAAAATTCAACCCAACTTGCCCGAATGGGCAAGTGGGTTGAAAAATTAATGTCAGGCCCTGATTGACCCAAATATCCGCTTGTTCTTTACATCCATGACGTTCAAACCAAGCACGTCTTTTTTATTATGTCTGGCGCTAAATTCAGATTTTTTACGATATATATATATATATATATATATATATATATATATAATTTCATAACAACAAATAATTTTTACAACAATTTCATAACAACAAATAATTTTTACAACAATTTCATAACAACAAATAATTGTTACAATTAAATTTTTTATTTTTTTTAATAGGGTTAGGGTCACAATGCACCATAAAACAGGAGTTTCAGGCACGCGATTTGTATCAACTAATGGGATTTGGGAGGTATGCAGAATGCAGAAGGTTGCTGAAATGATGTGTACGCAACTGCGTATCTGCATATCTACGCCTGACAAAGGTGTCACTACGCATGACTTAAATGTTACGTTTTATAACCGTAGCAACAGACCTCAGATGAGCCCAGACGCTCTGCGGCTCTTGTTCGTCATATGATCAGGAGTCTATCAATATTATCTGTAAGTTGTTGCGTTTAGTTAAAGCAAATGACACATATTCACTGCGTCATACCCCAGCATCAATGTCAGATGTAGATTATATTTGGAGTTCATACGCGAATCAGAAATGGTATGTAGGCCTACTCGTCGGCTTTCATGAGACATTTTACTTCCAGAACTTGCCTTGCTAAATCGCTTTTTGATATTTTGCACACCTGCCATTTCTGGTTTGATGTACCTATTTTCATATTCAAAATATAATGTTACAAAGAAATATAAGTTTGAAGGTCAAGGTCAGGGGGTCTAGATTAAGAAAGGTAAATGGCAAATTTACATAATTTTTCAGAACGACGGACCCACTGAGAAGCACTTTGTGAGCAATTAAAATTCATAAATATTTTACGGGGACGTGAGTAGTAGTTGTCTAGTAACTTTTTAACCCTCAAGAGATCTAAACCTGATTTACTCTCTTGCTCTACCCTATGACCATTCCATTCGCTGACCAATTCTGTTTTCTCGCACGCAAGCGACGACTCGCTGTCGAAGTACATTTCTTTCCGTCGAACCTGAGGCGGTGCTGGGAACCTTGACAACCTGTATATGTATCCCCTTATTTGTTACCCCTGGCTCACGAGGTCACCACTAGAATGAATGACAACGATGCTCGTGGTTTTCTATTATCTTGAATATTTGGTTTTCATATTCTATGAATCTTTTATACATGTTGTTTGTGCACAGGGCGTGCGTGCGATGTACTTGTGTGTTGCAGATGAGCATTTGACTGGCATTTACAGGTGATTATCAGCAATAATAGGCGGAATAGAGTAGAGAATCATGAAGACTTTGGTAGTAAATACATTTCGTGTTTATTTACCTTTTTTTATTGAAACGTTCCAAGTGCCTGTGAGCTCATTGGCCTGTGAATTGAATCGGAACAGGTTCTAATTACTGGGCTGTCTGTAGATGCTTGTGCCCTACGCTCGATAGGACGGGAAATGTAATTGAAAAAAGTAATCATAATACCTGTATGGTTTGAAATCAATGACCCTCCAATTACACACGATCGATCGAGCTAACAAAATTCAATCTTCAAGGTCAAAAGTTCAAAAATTCGCAGACGAGAAAGTTACAAATATTCCTAAATTAATTTACCCGAACACACTATCAAAAGAGCAGGCCCGGTTCCCTTCTATTTTTTTCTGAGATTTCATTTATTAGGTACGAGCATGACCGTAAACAGCTATTATGGAAGTGACACTCATTATTCATCCATTCCTCGCCAGTACAGATGGTTTTTCCCTGAACCCATGTAAAAAATCGGCTCGGTTTATAACTCATTTGTGCTGCTTACGGTACCCCACAGGCATCCATAGTATGAGACTGCCGGGAATGCTTTTTTTTACTGGTATGATCCCATTCACGCGTCGGAGGGTTCGGGATCACAGCATACGCATCACGACTAAATAAAAATAATTTATGCTATCAATCTAACTAGAAATTAATGTTTCATTGCAGGTATAGCCTTTTCTTTCAGCGTGCGTGATTATGGTGTTTTCTCGTTTGTTATCTGCGTGGCAAGCGTAATAGATATGAGTATTGGTTATGCTTTTCCAATTATTGTCAATTTTAATTAATTTATTAAATGTTACAATTTATGTAATAGCTTAATGTAAAAAATTTGAATCCGGTACGCATATATGAGAAGTGCAATTCCTCCATCTCTCCATATGCTGTACTGTACAGTGACAATGCCACGTGAACTCTGAGCCATATGTTGTAAACCGTTATAGTCTTCCTCAGTTTTTTGCACGTCAGAAACTAAAGGCGATGCTAATTTTAACGTTCGCCGAAATTGCCAGCGGTGGCATTTCCCGCGTGGAGGTTAGTCTGCACGCATGTGTACAGGTGTAATAAACGGTGTGAGAGACTCCGAAAGGCAATACTTGTGTTACTTTCCCAAGTGTAAGCCAGCCATATTCTTACATCGCATCTGAACCTGTTGGAAGCCGCCGGGATGGTCTAGCAAGTTTCAGCATTAGTAACATAATGCATCGTTCTCCCTCAGGCACATCGTTCACAGACGAACTGAGGAATGTGTTTACGGACGTAACTCGTGGTGACGACAACCCCCTCTTCATACAGCTTAGCGAACTCAGGGATGATAAGCATGGTGAACTACACTGGCGGGAAATGACAAGGTGACATGTTTGTTTATATTTGCCTAGCACTATACACGTTTACGCAGAATTTTTAGCTATTTTGTCCGTTTCCCCACGTCGGTTCACTCTGAAAATCAACACCCGCGCACTCAACTATACACACACGCGCACGCACGCACACACACACACACACACACACACACACACACAAGCGCACAAAGCGTACGCGCGTGTACGTAGACGCACGCCCGCCCGCACGCATGCACGAACGGTGGAACTATTCTCGGCACAAGTATATTCTCAAACGTGCGAAGCAAATAAGCTGGTCAGCTATCGACATCATGTGGCAATCCTTGTAGGCGCACGCATTTTCGTGTGTACAAAGCGAGCTTCCGGACCCAATCAGCCTGCGCAGATACAGTGCGGTGCACGGCAGAGAAACGCAACGCAAATTCAATTCGTAGCCGGCTTTAAAAATTTATCACACCGTTTTTGTTGCCATCAGAGGTCACGTGAAAATGATTGTCTGTTTCATCGCATCATCTACAGTGTTTACTAATGAGTAATGAATATTTTAGAGCCAGTATTTATTGTATGAGGTTATGTGTATAATAGAGTATCAGCAATTAGTAATCATCATTGTTTTCGTAACTTATTGTTAGATTGACAAATACTTGACTTATACGACATATCATCAGGAGTTAATAAAGACAAATTTTTGTCTTTGTTAACTCCTGATATCATGGTGTTGTCGTTTCGAACAGTCTTGATGGTAGTGAAACTGCTGGGTGGCATAT